AGTCTCAGAGCAGTTTACAAACTCCTTTCCCTTCCCCTCCCCACGACAGACACCCTGTGAGGTCGGTGGGGCTGAGAGAGCTCTGACAGAAACTGCTCTTTCAGGAACAGCTGATGTGACTGACCCAAGGCCACACCAGCAGGTGCAAGTGGAGGAGTGGGGAATCAAACCCGGTTCTCCCAGATTAGACTCCACACACAATACTGATGCACTCACACATTCAATCAAGTTCCTAAGAATTACAGTAGGAAATAAGCACAGTCGCATTCGCAGGTAGGGGTGATGACAGGCGATACTTATCGGTCTTGCAGCTTGGTTGTTCCAATGAAGAATGGAGGGGAAGAAATGGAAACAAAGGGAATTCACACACGACCAGAACCAGCCGGAACGTGTGGGTCTCTTGACTGCAGATCAAGAGATCACTAGTAGAGGCAAGGGTTGGGGATAGCAAGCCTGTCATTTTGGAAGGGGATGAACATTTTGAGATCGCTGATATCCTTGATTGTAAATTGAAACGTGGTAAACTCTGGTACCTTATCGAATGGGTTGATTTCGGTCCCCAGCACCGCGAATGGGTGGAAGAAGGGGATATTCGGGCCCCTTACCTGATCCGTAGTTTCCACAAGAGGTTCCCGGACAAACCGGGAGGTCTCCCGCCCAGCCCGGGAGATCTCCCGCCCGACCCGGGAGGTGTGTTGTAAGTGTATTTTAAGGGGGGCAGTATGTCAGCAAGCTGCCATTCTGTTTTCTGTGACCTCTGTGTACATATCCTTTCCCTGTTGCACCCGGCTTGTTTTCTATCATCCTGCTCCTGCGTTGGAATGCACAAGATAACTGCTGGAGGTTGTGTGGGGGAGAAGATGCTGTAATGCTTGCCTATTGCTTTTCTCATGAGTCCTGCACCTGTGTTTTGTCTGATGTTCTGCCTGGTTCCCATGGACTGGGCGCGCAACCGTTTCATTAGCCCGCCAGCGGGAATGCTATTCATTGGATCTGTATCTGTTTGAATTTCCTTTATTATGCTCGACCTAACTGTGTATCCCCAGTTCTAACAAAGAACGTGTTTGAGTATGTCTTCAACGCTTTGAAATAAATTTTGCTTTTCTTTAAAACGTGGATTTATTCTCGATGCTTGGGGATCCATAAGCAGCTTTGCCATGGGGGCTGTCTCCTCCTAGAGTTGTTGTTTCATTGCTCACAATAATGAAGGTTTGTGCTTCTTCACCAGGCTGGGCAACTGTGTAGCTGAAACCTTATTTACAGGTAAGGTATGCACAGGCACCCTCTATGTGTGGCATCACAACAGGTGACCTAAAGTGTACAGCTTTCTGAGCCTGTGTGTGTGTGCACAGTCCATTGTGTGTAGCAATATATAGTTCATAAAGCAAATATCAGGCTTATTCTCTAACAATGTGTGTTGTGCACTCAGCATGTTTTGGGCTTGTGTATAGATTAGGCATGGGATGCGGAGACAGTGGGTGGGCCGCAAATTTATTTGTTATTTATTTATTAGTTTCTATTTATATCCTGCAAAGGCCTGCTGAGCCATGAATATCAGGCTTATTCTCTAACAATGTGTGTTGTGCACTCAGCATGTTTTGGGCTTGTGTATAGATTAGGCATGGGATGCGGAGACAGTGGCTGGGCCGCAAATTTATTTGTCATTTATTTATTAGTTTCGATTTATATCCCGCAAAGGCCTGCTGAGCCATGTGCATCAAGTGTGTGTGTGTGGGGGGGGGGTTTCTCCACTTGACAGCCACCTTGGGGTCAGATATTTGAGGCTTGCTTGACCTGCCCCAGCTCCCGAGACTGAAGTTTGACCAGCGAAGATCCTCACAAAACTGACCTTCCTCACAGCAAAAGGGGCATCAATCCATCACAGACCATTTGCAGATCGGGAGTGGCAGCCAGCAGAAGAACAATGGAGTTCCTTCCTGTGGCACGGAAGCCTCCTGCCCGGATGATCTCTACTGATATCCCTCCACATCGAAAGGGAGGGGCTGGAGAGTGCTTATCAGTACCGTTCTGACCTTTGCATATGAGACAGCGAAGTGATAGTGAAGAGAGGAGACTGGACTTTGGAGTACCGTGTACAGTTCTGGTCACCACACCTCAGAAAGGATATTACAGCATCGGGAAAAGTGCAGAAAAGGGCAACTAGAATGATCAAAGGGTTGGAACACTTTCCCTGTGAAGAAAGGTTAAAGCGCTCGGGGCTCTTCAGCTTGGAAAAATGATGGCTGAGGGGTGACATGATCGAGGTTTCTAAGATTATGCACGGGATAGAGCAGGTCGAGAAAGAGGTACTTTTCTCCCATTCTCACAATACAAGAACTCGTGGGCACTCCATGAAATTGCTGAGCAGTCGGGTTAGAACGGATAAAAGGAAGTCCTTCTTCACCCAACGAGTGATTAACACACACAATTCCCTGCCACAGGAGGTGGTGGCGGCTACAAGCAGGGATGGCTTCAAGAGGGAATTAGATAAGCATATGGAGCAGAGGTCCATCACTGGCTATTAGCCACATGGTATAGACAGGAACTCTCAGTCTGTGGCCAGGGATGCCCTCTATTCTTGACGCTGGGGAGGGGGGCAACAGTGGGAGGGCTTCTGGTGTCCTGACCCCACTGCTGGACCTCCTGATGGCCCCTGGTCTTTCTGGCCACTGTGTGACAGAGTGTTGGACTGGATTGGCCATTGGCCTGATCCAACATTGGCTTCTCTTATGTTCTTATAAGAGGGAATTGGATAAGCATATGGAACAGAGGTCCATCCGTGGCTCTTAGCCACGAGGTATAGATAGGAACTCTCGGTCTGGGGCAAGGGATGCTCTGTATTCTTGGTGCTTGGGGGGGGCAACAGTGGAAGGGCTTCTGGTGTCCTGGCCCCACTGCTGGACCTCCTGATGGCCCCTGGTATTTTTGGCCACTGTGTGACAGAGTGTTGGACTGGATGGGCCACTGGCCTGATCCAACATTGGCGTCTCTTAGGTTCTTTTGTTAGATGTTGCAGGGGTCACCAGACAGAGGTGAGCTGGAAAAGAACAGGAATGGCTGGGAAAGGAAGACGTCTAAATAAGGCCTGCAACAGAACTCTGGAAATGTACCATGTATTCTGCATACCTCTCAACTTGCCATCTTATATGGGGAGAGAGGGATGCATTTATTGCTCGTTCATATCCAATTTGCTTAGCGGGTGAAAAACAAGCCCCCACCCACTGTATGCTTGTTCTTTTTGTAATCAGTGGCTGCAGATACAAATAATTCACTCACACATGTTTCCTTTTAAGAAATTAGTCCTCCCTGGGAGCGTGGGTGAAAAGAGAATATGAAGACCATATTGGTGAAAAACAAAACAAAGAAGTTATTTAGATTTGTCAAAAGGGGAGGCACTGGCTCCGTTGGATGCCAAAGGGAGGAGAGGAATTCATTTGGGAGGGGTTTCTTTTTTGCTTGAAGGACACTAGAGACGGAGATGTCAGTTGGCCAAAGGTGAGCCGGTCAGGCTGAGGGTGTGATCTGGGGAAGACGTTCTGCAACCTTGCAGAAGGGCCTCCTGGCTGCATTTTTGTCCATAGAACCGTCTCCATAAACAGCAAGCATTTTCTCATCCAAAGCAAACGGCCGCAGTGCTAGCCAGGGAACATCTTCCCTAGCAAGGAAGCGAGGACCGTACAATACTAATGATTAAAAAAAATTTACAATCAGAACTTGTGCCATGCTTGATTCACCCACACACATTGCAGGCAACTACTCTGCACATTCTCTTACTGTCCAAACAGTGCTTTTCTTTTCCCTTCTTTAAGGATATAAGTAGGCCGGCTGTGTTGTTATATCCTCCCTCAATGGCCCCCCCCCAAATATCTTAACCCCAGAGAGTATGTGTATATTTAAACCATTTTCACAGGAGACAACTGATATTCATCTTCTTGCGGTTCTGCTGTCAGGAAGGGAGGTCAAAGCAGCCCCTTCGGCCAGATGTCCAGTTAGATTAGAACCTCCTTCCATGCACATACATGGAACAGGGCATGAAACACAGAAACGGGTCAGGACTGTCAGGACTCAGCTTTGGATCATGTTCCAGTTTTGCGTCAGCGTCTTGGGCCTTTGGGCTCCTGCTGAGCCAATGAGATGGCTGTTGTGGGTTTGCTTTCCTGGTTACTGTGAACAGTTTCTACAACCCGCTGGGATTTGCCTAGAGTGGCACTCGAAGGGGTGGGTGGGAACAGGAAAGTTGTTTCTCAGGACTATTACTCGGGGGGGGGGAGTGTATGATTTATTTACATTATTTGCATGGTGACAGATATGCTGTTTCATTGGCGCACCTCCATGTGCCCTGCTTGCATAGACATCATTGAGGAAGTCCCCTCCCTCCGTGGTCCTCTCTTTCCCCCTCTGCTTCTTCTCACTCTGGCCCTCCCCTCCCTCCTTTTCCTCTGCTTCCTCCCCTTGCCTGTCCTGTTGCAGGTTCAATGGGTGTGTGTGTCTCTTTTCTGTGGCCCGTCTGGCCTTTCCTCCCTCCCTCTGCTCCTCATGCCACCCACTGTAACCTTCTGCGCACTCAGGTCGAATCTGCATTTGTCTTTCCCACCGGTGTCCCAGCCTTCTGACTCCGTCTTCAAAAAAGCTGTCTACATTTGGTTTCGTTTTCACACCTCAAGAGTGCTAGCATACTTTTGCACGTCCACATATGTTTATCGCCTTCTCATGGTGGCTCCACTGTCATTGCGCCTCCCCACTACTTTAAAAGAATCTTCTCCAAACAACGTTCAAACAAGCATAGAGGAAGACGGCGTCGCAGCAGCACGAAACTGTTTTAAAAATGCAAATGCAGATTCAACCTATGACTTTCTTTGCAGTGGAACAAAGTTGGACTCCAATGGTACTTTTAAGACCAACAAAGTTGTATTCCAGGTGTGAGCTTCCGCGGGCACGCACACTTTGTCAGACGATGAGATGGAATTACACACAAAAGCTTACACCTCGAATAAAACTTTGCTGGTCTTAAAGGTGCCGCTGGACTCTAGCTTTGTTCTGTTGCTTCAGACCAACACGGATGCCCCACCTTGATCTTTCTTTGCAGTGGTTTGCCTTTTGAATTCTGCACGGTGCAGCAAAAGGGGGTGGGTGGAAAAGCAGGAGTGCGGCAGGAGGGGGGGGGGGGGGAGGAAGCATGTTGTGAACTAGCAGAACCGAACCCGCGGTCGGGGCGCCACGTGGCCAGACAAACTAGCGAAGCTGACTCCAATGGTACCTTTAAGACCAACAATTTGTATTCTAGGTGTGAGCGTTCACGTGCACGCACACTTCTTCAGACAATGAGATGGAATTACACACAAAAGCTCACACCTCGAATAAAAAATTGCTGGTCTTACAGGTGCGGCTGGACTCTAGCTTTGTTCTATTGCTTCAGATCAACACGGCTGCCCCACCTTGATCTTTCTTTGCAGTGGTTTGCCTTTTGAATTCTGCACGGTGCAGCAAAAGGGGGTGGGTGGAAAAGCAGGAGTGCGGCAGGGGGGGGTGGGGGGAAGGAAGCATGGTGTGAAATGTTGTGAACTAGCAGAACCGAACCCGCGGTCGGGGCGCCACGTGGCCAGACAAACTAGCGAAGCTTCGCGACCAGGGACAAGAGAGTCCTCGGATCCTAAAACCCGCCAACCGGCGAGTAGGGATTCTACAGAGAACCTATAAGATTGTAACTCTTGGATATAGCCTATCACGGGTGTGGGTGTGGGTGTGTGTCATGCGTGTGGTTGTAAACAAACATATAAGCAGCCTGCGGGCTAGCAATTGTATCTCCTATTTTCTGAAATCACAAAGTAAAGTATGAGCTGAAAATCACACTGCGGTGCATCAGCCTCAGTACTTTTCAATGCCAGTTCTGGCCTCCTGCTTGAGTTGCTACAGCAATCCAATAGGCCACCTTGACGCCTCATTTTCTCCTACGATGTCGTGCACACACTGATGTCACGTTTAGTGTTTTGCCCTTCTTCAGCCCCACAGATTTTTGTCTTAAAAATCTTCAGCCCATCTCTGCGAACCTGAGAAGTTTTCCTGGATCACTGTAGCATTGCCAGCCTCCAGGGGGTGGCTGGAGATCTCCTGGGATCACCACTGATCTCCAGGTGACAGAGATCAATTCACCTGGAGAAAATGGCTGCTTTGGAAGGTGGACTCTGGGTCACTAGATCCCATCGAGGTCCCTCCCCAAACTCCGCCCTCCTCAGGCCCCACCCCCAAAATCTCAGGTATTTCCCAACCCGGAGCTGGCAACCCTACTGGGTAGGAAGAAACCTCAGCCTTTGCCCTGGCTAGCTTTCCTTGGGGATTTTTAAAAATATGCACAGGTGTGTGGCTATCAGATTTATTAGACTCTTATGGCTGTTTGAATGATTGTTTTATTGTTGACTGAAACACCGCCAGCCTCCACTCCTCAATTGCACCCAAAGGAAGAGCCGGCAGTTCTGCCGCTTGAACGTCTTACCACTCACAGAGGTGAGTATTGTGTAACAATGATAACAAACATTAGAATCAAAGGTTGCGGTCACACGCGCCAGAGAAAACGGGGAGGAGGCGAGGCTATGTCCTCTGGAGGAATTTGACCCACAGTTGCAGGATCACACCTCCCTTTGAAGCTGCAGGTGCAGCCCGTCAGTGCATGATCAGACGCAACGGCAGGTGAGTCAGGGTTTTTTTGCTTGCCTTTTTTCCACATGAGCTTAACCGAGGGATCAATGAATTGCACCTCCACACCGAGGAGGAGGAGGAGGAGGAGGAGATTGGATTTATACCCCATGGCCCTTCACTACCCAAAGGAGTCTCAGAGCAGCTTACAAACTCCTTTCCCTTCCCCTCCCCACAACAGACACCCTGTGAGGTAGGTGGGGCTGAGAGAGCTCTTGACAGAAACTGCTCTTTTTCAAGGACAGCTCTTATCAGAACTACGGCTTGCCCAAGGTCATCCAGCCAGGTGCAAGTGGAGGAGTAGGGAATCAAACCCGGTTCCCCCAGATTAGAGTCCGCAGACTTAACCACGACACCAAACTGGCTCTCCATAAGCACCGAGGGCTCCCTATGGAGTTTGCGATGATGCGCATATTGAGAGGAGGGGGGAAAGCAAAAGCAGGATGGCCTGATCAGATCATCTCGGCGCCATGAGCGCGCGCTGGAGTGATCAGACAGGGGAAAGTCCGTCTGTAGCTAGAGATGTGAAGGCCTGGAAAAAAACCAGAAAAATTCAGGAAAATCCCGGGTCTTTTCCGTTTTTTTTCCTGAAGCCTTTTTTGTTTTTTTCCAAAAAATTGGAAAAAGAAAAGAAAAGGGGAAAAAATTTATTATGGAACATTTTATTTTAACATGATGAATAAAATATTTTAAGACAAGGTGTTCAAATATTTTCCAAATCATTTCTAAAACATATGTATGGTATCAGATTGATCTAATTTCTGTGCACTGAGGACAAGCAAGTCCTAGGTTAAAAACTGAACTCTCCAATGCAAGAACAAGATGCATTTCTGCCTTTA